ATAGGGGCTTGACCCTCTCCAAAGATGAAATCAATTGCTAGCCCTACTAAACAACTCTCCGCAACCACATTTAAAACCAAACAGAAGACCATTTACACCCTTAATCTAGGGGTCCCAATACATGTCTTGTTTATTAAAAATGAGAGAACCTATTCATCTTTGGAAACAGTTTGTTCATATTTCCTTTTTTATTTCAAAAAATGAGGGGAATTAAAGCAGATTGGGTTGAACTGATTATTGATTTCAAAAACATCCATTAAGTTAATAAACCTAACTACATTAGATAAAGCTCGACTTTGGACTCTTACACCCAAATAGAGAGAGAGAGAGCAAATAAAAAAATAACATAACAGATAAAGAAATGAGAGAGGCCACTTGTCTATCTCAACATCAAATATGGCACTGACTAACCAATCATAGATTAAGCCTCCATACCATAATAAGAAGGAAGAAGAAGAAAAAGAAGAAGAAGATATCTCACCCATAACTTCATTACATAGGTGAGTCTCCATCAGCCATGCCCATGACTGTCAGTGGTTAGTAGAGATTCAATTTCCAGGGTTGTAATTGGTAATGGTTCGGAAATTTTTGGTGGGAAAATCCTACATGAAGTGAAGCCCAAGCAACAGATCTAGCCAAAAATGAATTAGAATACTATCATCAATCAATGTACCACAAAATGAATAAAAGCCTCAACAGGAAAATAATAAGAGAAAAATAAAATAAAAATATAATATGATAGACACAACAAATATGAAAATGAACAACAAAGGCAGAGAAGTTGATCTATTTGAGCTTCAAATATGGTGTTTCAATGAAACTCTGCTTCCTACTTTTTCTGAAGTTGAAAGCCCATTTGAACATATAAATAAGCTTTTTATAATGTCTAAGACAGTCATTACATAGAGAGGTTCGAGAGCATTAACAAAATAGAAAATGGAAGGGAATGAATGCTATGGGACTGGGAAAGAAAGAAACGAATATATGAGGTTTATGACATCTAAGCCATTACATAGAAAGATTGAGAGTAGGATTACAAACGGGGGACGTGATAGATGAATAAAACCTCTTGGGTACTCATATTCTGTAAAGTCAACAATGCCCCTTAACATTAAAGTGGAATAACTCATGATTATGATTCCTTAATAAGGCTATATGGGTAACTTTGATAAACATTAAGAAGTTTGAAAGATAAAAATTGTCTTTATCATAAATATAGCCATACGTGTAAGAAGGGAGAGATAAAAATTGTCTTTATCGATATCACCTAAATTTGAAATATGAAATCAATTTATTCAAGTTTAAATTTCTATTTCAAGTTTTCGAGAGGGCTTAGGCAATTAGGCTCACTGCAAAACTAAACAACTAAGGGCCCGTTGGGTAAATCTTTCCATGCGGTCTTTCGGCTGTTTACAAGCCGGGAAGATTGATTTTCGATTTATTTCTGTTTGGCACGCGGAAGATCTAGTCGCCAAAAGACGGGACACCAAAAAGATGTGAGAAGTCCATTTTGGGCTGATTTCAGGAAGCTCCAAATGAAGCTTCTTGCGTCTTTCGCGTTTTAATCTCATGTGGAAAGATGCACGTCTGTCAAACGTGCTTCGGGCTGATTAGATCTTCATGCAAAAGCTCAATGTGTCTTTTGCATGTTAGAGCTACCAAAAGATCCTCCCAAAAAGACGCACCAAATGGGCCCTAAGTGGATTGTCTTGTATCTTGGCCAAATTTGGTGGACTGAAAGCCTAAAGGAAAGATCAAAATCCAATTGGAATTTCAATTTGAGCAAACTAGTAATCAAAAGTTACAAAAATATGAGTAATTAATTAATTTCAAGTTTAGTAATTAAAAAATAAATATTAAAAATTTAAGTGTAAACTAAAGTACTAAACTATAAAGAAGAGTTATAAAGACGAGGAGGAGGAGGGGTGTAAACAGACCGAATTCAAATCAAATCAGGCAATATTTGAATTTGAATTTGATTAGAAAATTCGATATCCGATGGATTTTGAAAATTAATATTCAAATTCAACCAATTAATTATTTTTTGTAATTAATAAATATATAAAATAAATATTCTATTTATATAAAATATATAATTTAATTATTGCATATATATATTATAAAACACTTAAATATTTTATATATTATATATAAGAATTAAATAATTGGTTGAATTTGGATATTTATCGAATCAAATTAGGTAATATCTGAATTTAAATCCGATTAGCTATTCGATATGAACAAAATATCCGAATTCGATCGATTAGATATTCGAATTATTGAATTCGACTTGATTATGTCAAATTTCAAATTCAAAATTTTTCGAATACCATTGACACCCCTAAGGAGGAGGAGGAGGAGGAGGAGGAGGAGGAGAAGGAGGAGGAGGAAGAGGGGGAGGAAAGGAAACCAACTGGTGGAGTTGGAGGGAGAGGGACATGGTGAACAGAGTCCATTGGTGGGAAGAAGAAGAAGAGAGAGGAGGGGAGAGACTACTTGTTCTGATCGGTAATGGCATCAATGGCGGAGCTGGAGGTGTTGGTGGTAGTGGCTGGACTTAGGTTAGGTTTAAATGAATAGAGAAGAGAAGAAAGAATGATTGAAGAGGGTTTTTTGCTTTGGATAGGATTGGGTAGGGGTGCAAATGATCTGATCCGATCCTATTTGGTCGAATTCAGATCACCCTTGTTCAGATCTTCGGATTGGATCGGATAATAGGATCCTATTAGAAATCAAATCGGATTCGGATCACCCCCCCCCCATCCAATCTGAAAAGATTTGATCCAATACATGTTATATATATATTTATAAATATAAATATATATATAATACATATATATGCTATTTATTTATTTATAAATATATTATTTATATTGTATTTTTATAAATTTGTTATATTATTTATTTTTTTATAAAAAATATGTATATATATGATGAAAATAATTAAAAATACTTGTATTTTTTGTTTTTTTTTATTTAAATTGGTATATTTTATTTTTCTTTTAATAATTTATTATTTTTTAAAGAAAACAAGTCGGATTGGATCAAATCTGAAGATTTGACTTACCGATAGGATTCGAATTCAAATCGAGGCCTATTAGATCCAATCAGATCTTCGGATCAAATCCAACATAAATAATGTCGGATCGAATTTGGATGTGCCCTTATTCGAATTCGATCAGATCCATTTGCATCCCTAGGATAGGGATTCAATTGGACCTTAGGGCCTGTTTGGCCCAATTTTAGGTTTCTTTGTCTTTTTGTACTAAAAGTGAAAATGTGAAAAAAACTGCCGGTTATACAAAACCGGGACTGATTCTCTGGTTGAATTGGTCGGGCGAACAGTTATTTGCGGATTTTTAACAAACCAGTTTTGGGGGTGTATTCAGACCGTCCAGGGGCTGGTCACGGTTTAACTAGTCGGTCCGGTCCAGTTTTCAGAACATTGACAAAAAATTATCGAAGATGGGGATATTCAAGTCATAGGGGTATAAGTCATTTATTAGAACTCTAATGATAGAGATGTAATGCAGGTTGGGCCGGCAGGGTTGTGCCTGGTATGACATGATCACTACAGCTCCATGCCAGGTATTTGTGTATTTTCCAGTAACTCAATCCCATTGTAATTTTTATCTTCAACTTTATCATTTTATAAATTCAACTCCATTTATTATTTTTGAATGTATTTTTTATTTTTTATACACATTAAATTTGAAATAAAATAAAATTTTCACAATTTTTTCTAACTTATTGTTAATTTTCTACTATTATATGTTATTTTTTATTTTTTTTCTAATGTTTCTTAATTTAGAAAAACTAGAAAAAGAAAAAAATAGATCCAATTCCTAGGGCTCGGCACTACTAGGAACCAAGCCACGGGTCGTGCCAGGCCTAAGACCTGGCATAGCACGGCACGGATGGCGTCCGGGCCACCTTCATTCCGTGTTGTGCGGCACAGCACGGCCCACATTACAGGTCTAACTAATGGAGCTGAGGTATTTGTTCTGTTGTCATACATCATAAGGATAAGGGTATTTTACGTCATTTATTAAAACAGCAGGTATTTGTCAGAAACCCCAGGGGTATTTCAAATAGTTTTCTAATAAATTAATCAATTCTTAAAATCGGTTTTAAACTCAAACATAAAAAAGAACTAGTTCAAACAATTTTCATAAATCAAATTTAAAATTAATTCTTTAAAAACATGCCAAACACAGCGTGTAGAACCATTTCCAAACCAGACGGAGACCTTGCAACAAACCGGCAAAATTGTTAAACTAACATATTGAGTATCGACATGATAATATTACAAAGTACTCATTCCATGAGAAACACAGATATCAGGCTGGGAGTTCAAAATATCGATACGCCCGATAGACCAATTCGGGCAAATCAATACTTTTTTTTATTTTTTTTTTCAAAACCGGTTAAGGGGGAGTTTAGAACTCCTCCACCCCCTGAACCGGTCAGACCCACAATACACCCACTGTAAAAGCATATCAAAGGAGTCCTGGAATGATACATATTGGCCGATACTTTGAACCCTGTTCAGAACTAAAACAAATCCCTACCCCATTATAATCCGGATATGGAATCAAAACAAAAACTGACCCAATTATTAAGCACACAATGCAGACCTAAACCCTATATAATTGGGCCAGTTCGGCTTTCTTTATTCTTTTGAGTCTAGCCGACCCCCATATTCCGTATCTTGTTCTTTTCAAACCTAAAACGTGTTGTTAAACACGAGTTGTTTCAATTTCATTCTGCATTCGCCCCCATGCCTGTCCTCAGTGTTTCCTATAACAGACAAATAGGATATATAGTGTAGGTGTGGTGCCGGGTGCGCATTGCCACAAAACAACACTACTTGGTTGCCTGACGATCCCGAATATGCTTTTTCTGTAATAACTAGTAGTGTCTTCAGCAAGACCCTAGTTCTAATTACTACTCTATTTCCTAGTTCCTACTACATAAGAGTACATCTATGAAAGAGGATAAGTTTCGAAGTGGAGAGGGTGTCTTTCATTTAAAAAAGGGGAGAAAAGTTATGAATATGCCTTGTGAAAGTGCAAAGCAGATACAACTGAATAAATTGACAAGTTGAGTCTTATTTAACTTCATCTCATGTATGGAAACAATAAGGGTTGTTCAAAATGGCAAAATTGCAGCCAAGGCAATCTGTAGGCCCAGAGTTTTGAGCCTTCCCTAAGAAAAGAATCCAGAACTATATTTTCTTTGCAATTCTCTCTACCACAGCTGCTATTAACAATCTCATTATTGTTACATAACCACCCTTTCCCTTGGCTTTTTCAGAACCTGATCCATCATTAATCAATTTCAGTCCATTCAGGAAGATGACAATTGACAACCAGCCAAGGCCCAAAGGGAAAGGGAGGATCACTGATCATAATGGTTTCATTTGAGGCCCACTGATATGACATTCCAGAAAGAGCATCTTGGTGAACTCAACGGAGCATTTGTTGGAGCTGAATCACTTGTTGCCGCTGCTCTGGAGGCAATGAACTCAATTGCTCTGCTGTCAAACTCATCACTTGCTGCAGTAAAGCAGATTCCACTTCAGGTGGAAGCTGTAACTGCAAAAGGGAAAGAGAAAACGTCATATCAACATAAAGAAATCGCATGCCCATTAATTTGCTCCAAGCATCAAATTCAAATTTTTTTGAATAATGAGATTGTTGCATCCCTAACCACCTCTGCTGTTCGCTGGGTGGCACAAGAAAATTTATTCCTATTCACTAAAACTGTTTGCACTGGTTTATTTGTTTCTTATTCAATGATTACTCAATTATTTATTTAACATAAAATTACATTATTAAGAAAATTTAAAATTTTAGAAATTAATATTACCCACCAAGCCTCTGAACCCTTTTTTGGGGTTCACAGGTCTGAGGTCTCACATTCAATATCCATTTAAAGCAGTATGTTTACTAAACTTTGGCTTTATTTCTCACTTGTGTCAATAGAAGCTTTAGCTTTATGATAACTACAATATAGAAATAATAAAAAATATTTTCACTTTTCTTAGACACCTCAAACACATCAGAAGCCAGATCCCTCAGATCCAAAATGTTGTGTCAAGGTCTGCCAATTTTATAGCTGATTGCTGAGAACTATTTTATGTAAGAATTACATTTTAAGGGTGAAGTTGCAGTTGTGTCAATTAATTGTCCAAACAATGTACATCTCAAAGTAATTTTTGTCGTTTACTTCTTGACAGTATGAAGCTGGTTGAATATAAGAATTGTCATCTGTTGGAACTTGGAAATAGGCAAATATCCCATGAACTCTTCTTTATAAAACATGCCAAAAGAGTTCTGTGGGAATTTCATTTTTTATGAGCAATAGTCACTTGTTAACAATCAGTAGTAGGCATGGTCAAGGTGAGGTTCAATCTTAGGTTTGAGGTTCGACTCCTCCAGATTTACTGACTAACCAACACCTCCAAGGGTAATAGACCTGAAGGCCCTGTATCAGCCCTTACATCTTTAATCATCTTTGTTTCCTATGCCTGTCTATGTCTTGGATGTGTTGGCTATGTCTATTGTTTGTGTCCAGACCATACAAACTAGATCCTAGGTCCCCCAAATGCTTTCCAATGGACACTTTACTCAAAGATGGTTTGAACCTCTTGATTCTGTCCCCTTATTCCTTGAGCATTCCTTATAGGCCGTCTATGCCTCTCATTACGGATTCAGGAGATCATGTATATGCACCTTCCTCTTATTTTGACCTAACCAGGAAATAAAGTGAAAGCATTTAAGCTTTAGAACAATTTAGTGGCTAAAGGAATTACCCCACACTTGGTTTGATAAGTTTAGCAAAGTCATTAAAAGCATTGATTTACTTGCAAAATATTTTGCCTATGCAGTTGGCATTATCATAATTGCCTATGCAAGTGGCATTGTCATGACTGAAAATAATCAAAAGGAGATTCAAAGTATCACAGTAGGTACTTCCTCAAAGTATCCAAGAAGAGGATATTTGTTTCTCAACTAAAATGTGGTGCACTTACCAAAATAAACTAGGAAGTTGGGTGCTCAGTATGCTGATATTCATATAGATCCAAATTACAAGCTTAGATAGGGGAAGATCTATAGTGAAGGATTGTTTCAAAAACTAGTAGGAAGGCATTTGTACTTACCTATCATCAACAAACATGTTATTTTCTGATTGACACTTTGGAAAATGAAAAGGCAAACCACTTTTCTGAGTTGTCATATTCTCATTGCAACAATTTTTTTAATAGAAAAATACGACACTTTAAATGCCTAGTCAATATATATCTTTAACAAACATGTTTAATGAAAAAATGTTAAATAATTGCACGTGTGTTGTGTTGCTGATTATGCTTCAACAGGTTGGCAGATAAAACACCATCTTAGTGTGCTTAGAAGGAAATTGTTGGCTCTGTTCTAAGTAGAACCAGTTTCAGAAGTTGGCTAAACTAGCTGATGCAGGAAGAAAAGAAAAACTAAAAGAATAGTAACCTATTCAGACGGTCAATAGAGAAGATAATACCTGAGGAACTTGATTTTCAGAATGTTGCACCCCTTCACTAGCAACTTGGTTTGCAGATAATGGGCCAGTTCCAACAACTTGAGTTAGCCCAGTTGTAACAGAAGTGTTCTTGCTAATCATACTGTGAGAAGCACTCCTTCCATCTTCCAACCTCGCCAGTTTGGATGGATGAATCGTTGGATCTGATCCGTCACCAGCTATGCTTCTGGGAATCCAAGTTGCATCATCAGTAGCTTGAGTAGCTCTTTCAGCATCTTTGTGAATCGTCTCTGGTCCACCCGATAATACTGACGACACAGGCTGTTAACTAATGAAGATCAGATACAGCAAAAGAATGATATAGAACAAAGTAAATAGCTGGAAGATCTGTGTACCAATAAAGCAGTAAAACACCTAAGGGTATTTCAGATTCCAGAAAGGATTCACATCAAATGGCTGTCCATTGATCAGGTCTTTCTAATACCCATTCCCGTCCCTCAAACCTTCACTTAATTCCAACTACTAAACTTTTCTTGTTTCTCCAACTTAAAACAGTCCCTAAAACTTCTATAATTCCCTCCCAGCAATAACTTTTCAAAACCTAAATGTGTACCATGAAAATTATTTTATTTAAACTTTATCCAAGTCTCTAGAAAACAAACATATACCCAATTTCAAATGATTCAAGAGTATTAACCATAGCATTCACGTTTTCAACTCTAGAACATACTAGATATCCCTTGTCCTCATCAAATAGTTTCAGATGTCAAAAATTGAGAATATATTTATCAGGCACTAAAGTATCCAACAATAAAGAAAACCACATTTTTTGTAGAGATAAAGAAAACTACATTTGAATAAAGTATTGGTAGTCCCTTTGGGCCACTCATTTTCTTTCCTTCTAGTTCCATTTTTCTCCAAACATATAAAATGGGAATCACTAGTCTGTTACTCAAACCTGGCTTCACAAAAAAAATGCCCATAAATAAATCAGAAAACAATATCACAGAACACCTTAAACTAGGGCATGCTTTGCATCAGTAAATGCTCGCACCTGAAAGCTCTGTTGTGCCAGTGGAGGACGAGGCAAGAGTGAAGGATGCTGAAGAGCTGCATTTGGAAGAACCAACTGAGAAGTATGCCCCAAATTTGCAGTTCCAACTTGTCTAGGGTGTTGTAGTAGAGCTTGCTGCATCTGCTGCTTCAGAGCAGTGGAAGTTGCTACAGCTTGTGTTTGTGGTCGAGGAGGCAAACCAGTGAAAGGCTGTGGCTGTATGGATGGAACTGTTGAAATTCCAGACTGGCCTACAATTGTTGTCTGTAACGGAACTTGACTTTGTGCTTGTTGTGGATGCTGAAATCGATGTTGCATAGGAACCTGCTGTTGTGGAATTGCAGAGGTCTGGTTAGTGTACAAAGCACCTTGAGGAACTGGAGGATGAGATGGAAGTGCTGCCTGCTGCTGGCTGTGAAGACCATCTTGCACCGGAGGCTGTGAAACAGTAGACTGACGAATATTTGTCATCTGTAGCTGCAGTGTCAAACAATAACCTTAATTGTTTGTCACACATATCAGAATTAACCAAAAGACAAGGACAACTTCAGGGTACATTAAACTAACCATTTGAGGTGTCACCATACCTAGCATTATCTGTGCCTGCACAGTCAGAACCAGAACTAAATAATTTAATTTAATTTGAGTTGAGTATGAATATATCACAACGAATCCAACAATTATATCTATCATCATTATTTAATCCTTATCCCAAACAAGGGAACTGAAATAGCAGTAATGAATGGAAGCACAGATGCAAATAGACCAAGATGTCACTGAAAGGTTACAAGGAAACTTTGTTAGAAATTGAAAAGGCTGGAACTTAAAGAACCTCAAAATAGTACTTATCAAAGCACAGAGAAAAATGAATACATGAACTGCAAGAACTAGAACTTCCTACATTGCCTTCACCCAATATTAGAAGAATAAAATTGCAAATTTGAAAGAAAAAGAAAGTAAACTTCTGGTAATATTTAAGATCTTCAATTCTAGAAATTCACCACATGGATGCAGATATGGATATCCCATCAAGCATATGGTGACATGCTTTCACTTCTGGTATTCTTCTTTTCAATCTTGTTCAAGGTACATGTCTTTCTCAATGCTTATATCTGCCAATATGATGAACCTAACATTTCCAAAGTTTCTTGGTTATCATAGTATCTGCTTTTGATATATACCATTACATATTTTAGAGTTGCCAAATCCACACTTTATCTGGTGTCATTATCAGTATTCTACCTTGTTGTGTCAACACATGCATATTTAGCATGTTCAGGTATTCCTGTACCATACGTGCAAGTTTAGTTATTCTCTGACATTTATGAGAAGAAAAGTGAGCAGATTCTCAAACTCCAAATGGCACAATGCTCCACTTGAAAGGAAATATATTTATATATGCATGAAGTTTAGCAATACTTCCAAACTGGTTACTCTGTGTGTGCCCACTTCCAAAAGATTATCCAAACACCTCACATGTTATAGTAAAGCATGTTGTCTCAAACCATAAAATGAATTAGTGGGAAAATGGAAGGGGAAAAGGGAAAAAAAAACAAAGAAAAGACTTAAAGCTACATTAGTATCAAAGTATAGATAACCACCTGAAAAAGAGCTTTTGACAACTGTGGACTTGCTACCAGTAGTTGGCGAGCCAGTTCCTTTTTTTGTGTAGCCATTGCCTGTCATTGGGATTACATTGTAAACATGAAGCTGTTCATGAAGGACAAATTAAAAGAAGGGAAATGCATACCTTCATCTCTGACATAACCTCTTGCAACTGATGTTTAGACATTTTAGCCAGATAATGGGTTAAAGGATCATTGATCACACCAGACTGATTTTGCAAACCAGTTTGCTTGGAGGACATGCCACCAGTCTGAACGTCACCTAGTGCTCCTGCCATAACTGATGCAGCAGTGGCAGCCAATGGGAGGCCAATTGGCTGATGGAGAGTAGAATCCCCAAAAATTGCCGGGCCACCTACTTGTTTTTGAGTATCTGTGATATTTTTATAGCAGGTTGTCACATGACCTTGACAATATTAATGTGAAAAGGAGGAGCAAACAATGATTGGAGTTAGGGATAAGGGAAAACTGACCAACATTTGAAGTCAACCCTGGCCCACCACGACCCTGCAAAAGAAAAGTGAAATTTGCACAACTTATTTCTCTATTTATTTAGTCATTCAGAATGCAAATCTGAGAACAAAACTTTTGATTTTTTTGTTTGGTGAGAAAAGAAAATCATAAACAAATAGAAGGGGCTAAGCTGGCCCCCTAAAATGAAAACAAAAAAGAACAAGAAGTCAATTCCTCACAATCCCTCCAAAATGAACCCTAATGAGCCCATTAAAATTCTTCATTACCAGAGGCCAGTCCCTAAGAAGTAAGCCAACATCCATGATATCTTGGGATCATTCACAAACGGTCCCATAAGATTGAGAAGAATTGCTGCTCTGAAGGATGCCCCCAGTCTGCCCTGACTAAAGAGGGTCCCCAGATGGCATATTTTTAGAAAATAAGTCCTCAGTAGTGAGACATGAGAAGATGTACATCAACTGACTCCAACCTCTGTATAAATCAATTGCAAGGTTAGGTATCATTAGGTCATAAAGAACTTCACCATCCAATCATGCAAAGAAAACTGCTTTTTTAGGAAAAAGTAAGTATATTTGTATTAATGATTAAAAGGGTAAACCCCAGTAAAGTACGCACAGTAAGAAACTGTACAAGCAGAAAGAATACACAGTATTTCAGATACTATGATAATTTCAAAAAAGAGGGCTTTGATTGAGAGATTAGCAGCATGGACCCAAAAATAAAATTTTGCTATCATAGTCCAAATCAATTCATCTATTTGAGAATATTTGCCATCGAAAACTTGTTAGACAGTGTATGCCCTTAGCTCCAATCAAAATGATGTACAGATACATTTATTGTAAATGAATAAAAGTACATTATTGTTTCATGTTGATATTGGTATGTTTATGTGTAATTACCCCTTAAACTGGTCACTTATGAGACTCGTGTTAGTTTAAAATGTTCTCAGCCGTTGGATAGACTTAGGGAGTTTATCCTGCCAAGGCTGACACTAATGTGCTATCAAAGAAGTTGGGGCAACTTGTCTTAGCTGCTAGGGTTAGACCCGAAGCGTATGCAGTGTGTTTAGATGAAACATTGAACCCGGACCATTTTCCAGTTATACCTTGGACCTTGTAGATTGATGGGCAAAACTGGAAAGTTACATAACTCCTAGACTTGATTATGGTACTACACTAGGTGTTGGATTGGGCTATCTTTTGATATGCCAATCAATGAGATGCATCAAGGGTCAAAACCTAGGTATGTTGGGGTAATCTAAGAATTCACTTGAGCAGGTGATCACAATGATAGGATCGGCCCCTTTGTCAAACAAAGTGAATGATAGGACTTACATTCTCTCTGGTGGAAACATTAACTATCGGCAGTGGATTTCAACTGTGTTTGAGATTTGGTTTTGCAGAATATATATATATATACGTTTTATGAAAAATGTTTGCAAAATGTTTTAATTCCCGAGATCCATCCGAGTAGAGAGTGTGACATTGCACCTTGCAGCTAGAGGAGAGGTCCTTCCCTGTCAAGCAATGTGTGATCATTATGGGCCGAGAGGTTAAGTGTAAGAGACCATTACAAGGTTGATTACCTAATGGGCTTTATCTTACTTAAGTCCATTATCCTTAGGTCTTCATAGGATGGCTGAATTCAATGATCATTTAGGTGTAAATGTTGGATCCATATTGAGCCCATAGTGATGTGCTCAGGGGTTCACTGCATTTAGTAGTGAATTTGGCCAAGCCTTTTCACAGAGGCTGGGCCAAACCCATGTGGACTTATGTGAGGTCATTATGGGATCCCACACCATACAAATCAAGCCTAAGTTGGCCATGCAACACCCTTGGGTCGTGAGCCTTATAGCTGATGGGCCTAAGGCCCATAATTAATATGATTAACTTGCCATGGGGAGAATCTGGGTATGGAGCACCTAATCTCATAAGAAGATAAGGTATATCTCTAATTAAAGTCCAAATCTGATTTAGAGCTGGATTATCTCCTAATTAGATTAGGAGATAGCTTCATAAGAGATTATAAAAGAGGAGGGGGCGGACCAGTCCAAGACATCTTCATATTTTTGCAGTTTCTGGTTCTCTCTGCACCCTTTTGACTCTGAGTTTTTTCCCAGTTCGATATCAGCTATCTAGGACTAATTTAGATAAGTTTTCCTCTTATTTTTGCAAGAAAAATTCAGGGAATGTTAGGCTCATCATCCTCAGTTCAATCCAAGCAGTTGGATCTCACTTTTGCTGAAAACTGTGTTGTTGGATCAGCTTCACCTATACATTGTGCCATCTTTAGTGGAGGTTGGTTTTAGGACTGATTTGGGCATGAACTTCCACCTTGGGATCTGCATTTGTGGTATTCGTATCAAGTACAAATTTCCATCTTTGTTTGGTTTCAAATCTGCTCCGGTTCAATGCAAGATCGATCTTGAAAAATGCAGTTTTTTTAAACATAGGGAATTCGATTCCCATAAGGATTTAGGAAATTTTTGAAATTTCGCCCAACCATCTAGCATGATCCGGCCATCCATATTATGGATCCTAACCCTTCCAACAATGGTATCCATAGTTGCCAAGGTGTTGTCGCCTAGGCACTCGCCTAAGTGACTAGGTGCCCTTGGCTGGGTGCCTTGAATTTTAGCAACTAGGCAACTAAGCGCCCACCTAGGCGACAAAAATGACAAGGAGGGTGCCTTTATAATATCATTTATATTGTTGTATCTTATTAATGTATGTGTTAATACATTTTATTATGTGCTATATATATCAATTATACTTTGTTTTAATGTTTTACTATTGAAATTTAAAAGATCAAAGGGTTTTAAGAAGAGAAAAAGAAAGAAAGAAAAGAAAAGAAAAGAAAGAGGAAAGAAAAAATAGAATAATAAAGTTCTTTTTTTTCTATTTTCTCTCTCTAATTAAATAAAACAGAAACTCCATCCTTGTTTTTTTTTTCTATTTTACTTTCTATCTTGAATATTTATCATATAAAGTTAATAACCTTCTTTAGATGCTAATTAATATGAATCTGCTCTATTAAATACTTGTTATAGTAGTATTACTTTTGAAAATAATGAAATTACTATATGTAAAAGCTTTTATCTTTTAGATGTGATGATTTGCCACATTTTTAGAGGAATTTTAATGTTCTTAATAAAGAGAATTGCTATTTTTTCAATTAACATACATGCTGAATGGTATATAAAACTAGGAAACTATCCAAAAGTCAGTTTCTTATATTATAAAATTTTTATCGCCTAGGCAACTAGGCGCCCCAGTGTCGCCCAGAATCACCTAGGCGCCTTGAAAACTATGGTGGTATCAGAGCAGTTCAGCCCTTGGACTGAACCAAAACTCAAATCAGCAAGAACTAGTCTAGCCGATTTGAGCAGTTAGCAGAAACCGCTGAGAATTCGGTTCTCAAAGTGGATCAATGATCTGAAATATATACACACCAAATTTATTTCAGATCTATACACACCAAATTTGATGGTGGCAAGATCTATACACACCAAATTTATTAACTTGATTATTTGGTCTGTAATTAATTATTTTTCTTTTCTAGAAAGAATGTATTAGGTTTTTCTTATGTAAGCAATAGAAATTAGGGTTTTTCTATTTTTTACGTTGGAGAAATCGTTGGAGCTTGCAGAGAAGACAGAGATTGCAGATGGAGATCGATCTACAGATTGCAGTTTCACAAGGATGCAGTTTTTGTCCAGATTGGATTCAGACCATCTAGCCATTTATTTCTGATTATCTGCTATTTATTTGCTGATATGATTAATTGAGAATTTCATATCATTACCTATGTGAAGTGATGCATGTTTTGGACACCAAACCCTAGGCCGATCTGACCTAGCTTTGGTCCAATCTTGTTGGGCCGAACCTATGGTTCTTTGGGGTCTGATCATAGCCCCTTGGATCACTGTTTAAATGACCCAAAATCAATCTACTCCAAGGGTTTAATGGCCCATTGCATGGACCAATTTGGCCCATGCTTCAAAACCTTTTTATGTTAGATTAAAGCAAGACTAGCCCATTTCAGCATTGACTGTTATATGGGTCAAACTACTTTTTGTAGTTTAGCCCATATACCAAGACAAAATTATTAGATAATTTGGTCCATTGATGGGATGATCATGTGTGAGAGTTGTCAGTTAGGAAAGCATTGTAGACAGTCTTTTAAACCAAGTAATAAAAGTACTTCTACTTTTAATATTGTTCACACTAATGTATGGGGGCCATATCATATCCCTTCCATGGGAGGATTCTGTTACTTTCTCTTGTTTGTGGATGATTATACATAATATTCTTGGATATATTTGATAAGATCACGTGATGAGGTTCCTAACTTGGTACAACAGTTCTGCCAGATGGTTCTCACACAATTTGGAGTGAGAACTAAGGCTTTTAAATCAGATAATGCCTGAGAGTACTTTGAGAAGGACCTGACAACGTATCTCTTAGAACATGGTGTAGCTCATCAGAGCAATTGTGCATATACGCCGCAACAGAATGGAGTTGTTGAGAGGAAAAACAGACACATTGTGGAGGTGGCAAGGAGTCTTATGGTGTGTGCTTCAGTTCTTGTGCAGTTCTGAGGAGATGCAATTCTTACAGTTGTGCATTTGATTAACCGTGTTCCTTTACAGACTTTGGGGTTTAAGGTGCCATTTAGTCTTCTTTTTCCAGATGGGGAGATATTTCATATACCTCTGAGGGTTTTTGGTTGTGTTTCTTTTGTTCACATTCTTGGCCCTCATCGCAAGAAATTGGATCCTAAGGCCAAGAAATGTGTTTTTCTTGGGTATGCTCAGAACCAAAAGGGGTATTGCTGTTATGACCCAGTGTCGAGGAGCAGATTTGTCACTATGGATATTACCTTCTTTGAATCCACCTTCTTCTCGAGTGGTTCTCCTCAGGGGGAGAGTTTTGGAGAGGAGAACTCACAATCTATTCCTCTTCCTGTTTCTTTGGTGCCTCCATCAGTTCAGCCAGCATCTGCATCAGTTCAGCCAGCACTTGCACCTC